AGTAGTAGTAGTAATAGTTGCTGTTGTTGTTGTCGTCGTTGTCGTTGCTGTTGTTGTCGTTGTCCTTACCGCTATCGTTGTCCTTGCCGTTGTCGTTGTCGTTGTCATTATCACTCTCTCGTTGTCCTTGTCGTTGTCGTTGCTGTTGTTGTCGTTGTCCTTATCGCTATCGTTGTCGATGTCGTTGTGGTTGTGGTCGTGGTCGTGGTCGTGGTTGTTGTTGTTGTTGTTGTTGTTGTGGTTGTTGTTGTTGTTGTGGTTTTTGTTGTTGTTGTTGTTGTTGTTGTTGATGATTTTGAGGCTGATGATCATAACGATGATGATGATGGTTGTGATGATGATGCTGCTGATGATGATGATGATGCTGATGTTGATGATGATGATGATGCTGCTGATGATGATGATGATGGTGATGATGATGGTTGTGATGATGATGATGATGCTGCTGATGATGATGATGATGATGGTGATGATGATGGTTGTGATGATGTTGGTGGTGATGATGAAGATGGCCTGCTGGCCCGCTGTTGGGCGTCAGCCCCTTAAATCCGGCCAGGGGCCCCTGGCCGTGTCCTTGCCGTACGGCAGTTCTCTCCTCTCCATAAAAAAAGAGGGGCTGCCGCCCCTGCCGCCGACCTCTGGTAGGGTGCGCGTGTCGACAGAAACCCCTGTAATTTACAGTGTTTTTTGGCCCTGTGACATTAACATGTTTTCCCATTTTTCGGATCTTGTGGCTCGAGATGGGTCAACATGGGCCAACATAGGCCTCAAGACGGACCAACATAGCCTCAAGATGGGCCAACATAGCCCCCAAGATGGGCCAACATAGCCCCAAGATGGGCCAAAATAGCTCCAAGATGGGCCAACATAGCCCCAAGATGGGCCAACATAGCCCCAAGATGGGCCAACATAGCCCCAAGATGGGCCCACATTGCCCTCAAGATAGGCCAACATAGCCTCAAGATGGGCCAACATAGCCCCAAGATAGGCCGCCGACCATCAAAATATCATGCGTTTTACAATGTTTTTTTGCTATTCCCATTTTTCGGATCTTTCGGCTCAACATGTGTCAACATGAGGCCAACATAGGCCAACATAGCCACAAGATGGGCCAACATAGTTGGGCCCCTGGCCGGCTGTTGCGCGTAAGCGCTTAATAATACACAGTACACAGTAGATCATGGAGACTTTGATGCTTGTGTGCCCTTGATGCAGTGCTGCCTTGTGTCCTTGTCGTCAACACCAGCATCATTCAATGCATCCAGGAACTCCGACATGAAACGATCAAATGTTGCAAGCACAGAGCGAGTCCGTTACTCTTTGGCACCGTCAACTGCATGTGGCTCGGGGAATCGCCGGAAGGTTGAAATCATATCATGTCTTACCTTACTTGCATGCAAGGAATGGGTGGATTTTATATCGGGCTGGGTCTGCAAACGGTGCGGCTGCAAGGGTCTCAACATGAAAAACGTAGCACAAACTCACAAACTGCACGAGAAAACCTTGATTGGGTGACAAACAGCGCCGCAATACCTTGAGTATGATTTCGTCATTTAGCGAGAAAATTGGGGTTCATTGAGACATGTAACGTTTTCAGTCTTACTGCCTTCATGTCGAGTCTCTTGTTGCATTGTATTGCAATGTTGTGATATGTTGTGAACCAATGCACATGAATTACCGCAAGGACTGTGCCCAACATCCTCTTGTTCCGCGGGCACCTTGAAAACAGCAACTGAGCCACCAAAGCAAGAAACTTGAAACAATCCTGTGCTCCCCACAGCGTTGATGTCTCTTGAATCTGAGATTACACACACTCATGAATCTAATCACGAATGTCTTTCGCCTGGTGCATTTTCGAGCACGGCATCACAAAATTCTTCGTGGTTTTGGACACCGCGACCGAATCATTTTAAAGGTTCTCCTTGAAAGTGCCTGCTCAACTCGCAGAGTAACCTGCTTCCTGAGAGTGTTGTACGCTGGGGCTTTACAGAATCACGACATTATGGAAATGGTTGCTTTGCATCAAATCCCAAACCTTGAGCGTCGCAGAGTTCAACCTTTGATTTTTTTCCTGTGGGCCAAGGTCATACTTGGTGTGAAACGCTGTGGCCTCGTGAGACAGCTTCGTCTGTCGGAAGCCCGAGCAACAAGGCAAAATAGGATGGACATGTGTCCAGCATGCGTCAGCTGTCAGCGGTTGTGGATCCGGTCAATCTTTTTGGCGATAGCTCCAGTAAGTTTTACTAGCTGCATGTCAGCTTCCATGCTGTCCTCCCCATCGCCCTCATCACTGTCATCTTCATCACCTCACCAAACCATCTTTGCGCGGCCATTGACAACGTCTCATGGCGAGCTTGTTTGCGTGCAACACCCCTCCTGCTCCCTCCCTCTCCCCTTCCACCTCCATCTCTCCACCTCTCCATCTCTCTTCTCGCCCTCTCTCCTCTTCTCTCGGTCTCTTTCTCCCCCCCTCCGTCTCCATACGTGCATACTATTTGGATTTGCGGGGTGCATCGATAAATGAGCACATGGCGGTTGAATGAATGAATGAATGCATGAATGAATGAATGAATGCATGCACGCATGCATGCATGCATGCATGCAGGAATGAAGCAGAATGAAGCAGAATGAAGCAGAATGAAGCAGAATGAATCAAGGAATCAGGCAATGAATGAATCAATGAATGACCCACTGATGAATGAATGAACGAACGGTTGCATGAATGAGTGAGGTGCTTCTTCGTTGAGCTAGCCGTTCCCCAAGCTGCTATCATTTGCGCAGCTAAGTTTCAAATTTGAAACGCTTATAGCCTATAGAGCGGAGCAAAGACTGTGCCTATAGACTTGTTAATCTGATGCCATGTCTTTTGAATGTTGGATTCTTTCTCATTTCATCTGATCTCATCGCATTGCAGCTTCTCTTGGAAATTGCTCATTGCATCCCGCAGACAGCAGTCCGTGTCATCCCATCTCATCTCAACTCATCCCACCTCATGTCTTCTCAGCTTTTTTTACTCATCTCATCCCATCTCATGTCTTCTCTCCCTTTCCCAGATCTTCTCAGCTGATCACAACTGTTCTCATCTTCTCTCATGTCACCTGAGCTTTTCTCATCTCTTCTCATCTCCTCTCAGCTTATCTCAAATTTTCACAGCTCTTCTCAACTTTTCTCAGCTCTCAGCAGCTCATGTCAGCTTATCTTACATCTTCTCATCTCTTCTCTCCTTTCCTCGCCTTTTCTAAGCTCTTCTCACTTCTCCTCAGCTGACCTCAGCTCTTGTCAGCTCGCCTCACCTCATCTCAGCTCTTCTCAGCGCACTCTCACCAAAGCAAGCGCCCGCTTCGCTTTCCAGAGACAAGATTTGTCACAGAGAAGCTTTTACACACAGCAAGCTTTTGCACAGAGAAGCTTGCTCACACAGAAGCTTTTTCACAGAGACAGGGAAGCTTTTACACAAAGACAGGGAAGCTTTGGCTCACAGAAAGCTTTTACACAGAGCAAGCTTTTACACACAGCAAGCTTTTACACAAAAACCATTCCATAGAACAGCTTTTACACGCAGCAAGCTCAGCTCTTACGTGCAGCAAGCTTTTACACACAGAAGCTTTTACACAAAGAAACTTTTACACAGAGAAGCCTTTATACAGCGAAGCGATTACACACAGCGAGCTTTTACACACAGAAGTTTTTGCACGGAAAAGCATTTACAGAGAAGCTTTACACACAGCAAGGTTTCGCACAAAGAAGCCCCTACACAGAAAAGTTTGTACACAGAAAAGCTTTTACACACATAAAGCTTTAGACACAGAAGCTTTTACGCAAAGAAGCCTTTACGCAGCTTTTACACACAGCAAGCCTTGACACAGCTTTCACACACAGCAAGCCTTCACACAGAGAAACTCCCACACAGAAAAGCTTTGACACAGAGAAGCTTTTACACACAGCAAGCTTTTACACAGAAAAACTTTTGGACACAAAAGCATTTACACACAGCAAGCTTTCACACAGAGAAGCCCTTACACAGAGAAGCTTTTACACACAGAAGCTTCTACACACGCAGCAAGCTTTTACACAGAAATGCTTTTGCGCACAGAAGCTTTCACACAGCAAGCTTTCACGCAGAGAAGCCCTTACACAGAGAAGCATTTACACAGAAAAGCTTTTTACACACAGCAAGCTTTTACACAGAGCAAGCTTTTCCGCAGAAAAGCTCTTACACACAGCTAGCTTTTACGCAGAAGAGCTTTTACATTCAGAAAGCTTTTGCACAGTGCAAGGTTTTACACACAGCAAGCTTTTAAACTTCGAAAATCTGCTGACAAATCACTGTCGCAGCCTTGGTGCAGCCACTCCAATATGATTTAGGATGTCCAGCTGCGAAAGACAATAATATTACGTGTGCAGTCGCGACGCCCAACCTTGACGCAGCCAGTACAATTCGATCTGCACAGGCTGAGTTGCAAAGCGCGAGAGAACTACGCGAAACAGCGTCAGAAATTGCAGCTCCAAAACCGGACGAATCTCGACGCCAAAGCGAGAAAAAAAAAGCGATTTCGAAGCACTTTCTAAAGAACATTTTAAAAGGAAAAATGCCAACACTAAAATTGAGAAAACCTGTTGACAAATCACTACTGCAGCCTTGATGCGGCCACTCCAATACGATTTCCGATATCCAACTGCTTAAAAGACGATAGTATTACGCACGCAACCGCGGCGCCAAGCAACCTCGACGCAAGAGAACTATGTGCAAGAACGTGGGCAAAACGATGCCTGAACTGGCAGTTCCACTGCGCGGCCGGTCCGACCACGATCCCGGTTTAAACGAGCATGTTTCAAGACCGTCCGCCGGACAAGCTTCCCCATCCATCTTCCGGGACACGTTTTATCCTGCAAAACACAGCATTTGGTGCATCCGCTCTCTCTCAAAAACGCATTTCGTGCGAGACTTCCCTCAAGAAGTGAAAGTGGAAGATGTGAAAACGAAGCTTTCATGCGAGACTTCCCTCAAAATCTAAAAGCTGAAGATGTGAAATGCGAAAACGAAGCTTTCATGCGAGACCACCCTGAAAATCTGAAAGTGGAAATGTAAAAACGAAGCTTTCGTGCTAGACCTCCCTCAAAATCTGACAGCCGATGATGTGAAAACGGAGATTTCGTGCGAGACATCCCTGAAAAGTCAAAGTGGAAAATGTGAAAGCGAAGTTTTTGTGCTAGACCTCGCTCAAAATCTGACAGTCGAAGATGTGAAAACGGAGCTTTCGTGCCAGACATCCCTGAAAAGTGAAAGTGGAAAATGTGAAAACGAAGCTTTGATGCGAGACCCCCAAAAAAAACAGAAAGTGGCAGATGTGAAAACGAAGCTTTTGTGCGACACATCCCTCAAAAAGTGAAAGCTGTGAAGATGTGAAAACGAAGCTCTCGTGCGAGACTTCCCTCAAGAAGTAAAAGTGGAAGATGTGAAAACGAAGCTTTCGTGCCAGACTTCCCTGAAAAAGTGGAAGTGGAAGATGTGAAAACGAAGCTTTCATGCGAGACCTCCCTCAAAATCCGAAAGTGGCAGATGTGAAAACGAAGGTTTCGTGCGAGACTTCCCTCAAGAAGTGAAAGTGGAAGATGTGAAAGCGAAGCTTTCGTGCGAGACTTCCCTTCGTGCGAGACCGCCCTCAAAATCCGAAAGTGGCAGATGTGAAAACGAAGCTTTCATGCGAGACTTCCCTCATAATCTGAAAGCTGAAGATGTGAAATGTGAAAGCGAAGCTTTCGTGCGAGACCTCCCTCAAAATTTGACAGTCGAAGATGTGAAAACGAAGCTTTCCTGCGAGACTTCCTCAAATTTTGAAAGTGGAAGATGTGAGAATTAAGCTTTCGTGCTGGAGAAAGTGGCAGATGTGAAAACAGCTTTCGTGCGAGACCTCCCTCAAAATCTGAAAGCTGAAGATGTGAAATGTGAAAACGAAGCTTTCCTGCGAGACTTCCCTCAAAATCTGAATGTGAAAACGCAGCTTTCGTGCGAGAACTCCTTCAAAATTTCAACTGCCAAATTGTGAAAAGAAGCCTGAACTGGCAGTTCCACTGCGTGGCCGGTCCGACCATGATCCCGGTTTAAACGAGCATGTTTCAAGACCGTCCGCCGGACAAGCTTCCCCATCCATCTTCCGGGACAGTTTTACCCTGCAAAACACAGCATTTGGTGCATCCGCTCTCTCTCAAAAACGCATTTCGTGCGAGACTTCCCTCAAGAAGTGGCTTCATCCATGGATCACTCTCAAAAGGGATGCTGAATGGGCTCAAAATTAATGCTGAATAATCGCAAGACATTTCAAGAATGCAAAAGCTGACCATGGCCATTCCTCAGTACCTCAAAAGTTTGCCAACCAAACTTCCTTTGACTAAGGGGTGCCCTTTGTCTACGAAACCTTTCTTTGACTTGGGCATTGGTCTGTGTGGGTTTTACAGTTTTACACACCGTGGCATTTCAAAAGTTGACCTCAGACTGACCCCTAGTATTGAACAGAATGAATTGTTCAAAGACTTGTGCGCCTTTTAGGTACTTTTAGGTCAGGTGTGGTGGATCTCATCCTAGCTCAGCCTAATCATTCTGGCTCATCCCCATCTGAAATCTCTCTGAAGACTCCAGTTCTGCGAAGCTTCTATCTCCATCCATTGCCATGAGCGCTCTGGAAGCCCAATCTGCAGCACTTCGACCTTTCGCTTTGCCCGGCTTACCCTGTGGAAGTGGTCCATCGAGCACATCGTTGTCTGATTCGCCTAAGCTTTGACTTGTCATCTCATGTCATCTTGTCAATGTCATGCCATGTCATGTTCCAGCATATGCAAGCGCAGCACTCAATCCTTGTGACATTTTCTGACAATTGAATCTATTCGGTCAACGGATGTCACTAGATGTCAATTGATGTCAACGACACATTCCAACATGTTCCAATGAGCGAAGGAGCAAGCATCTTCGAGGTCATCAAAAGCACTGTCAATCAAGGCCTGTCTGGCATTTTGACCTTGCATTTCTCGCAAGCTTTCCTCTCTCCTAAGCAGACTGATTGCGGTCCATGTGTCATGTGGTTCAGCTGTGCAACTGACAATGAGGTGTGCTGTACTGGTCTGCCGACAAAAGAATGTATTGTTTCTGGCACTCAACCTTTGGACCCTGTTGAATTTCATGGATAGCAGGTAGAAACCATGCTGAGGGCTATTGTCTGAGCACGTGTTCCTGACTTGGAAAATTAACCTGGAAGTGAGTTTCCTCTCCATTTCGAGTCGTTCTGCTTCTCTTCGGTCTCGTTCCAAGCGCTCTTCTTCTTGCCGCTGTCTTTCCTCCTCCTGTCTTCTGCGTTCCTCCTCCTCTCGACGCCTCTCCTCCTGCAACCTCCGCCTCAAGACACTTTGGTGACTTTGGTGTGCATATGTGTCCATTCAAGTCACGGAGGGGACCTGCAAGTCTTGCTGTAAGTCAAACCATGATCTGACGAGCTCACCCAAAACAAGGCCCCTCAGAGAAACGTTTGCATTCCAAAGCAGTGAGACAACATGACACAATATGACACAATCATCATGATACAATGAAGAACAGTATGTGTTTGCTGCGCTGCACATTGTCAACTAAGCTTTGCGCTCTTCTTCTAACCGCGCTTCTTCTTTGCGCCGCTCTTCCTCCAACCTTGCTCGCTCTCGCCGCCTTTCTTCTGCCAAACGTTCCTCCTCCTTCCTTCTCTCTTCTGCCAACCGCGCTTCTTCTCTCTTTCTTTCCTCAGCCAATCCAAAAATCCCTGCCAACAGCTGCTAACATATCAAGCGCAAAAAAATGCAACCTGGAAACAAACGTGAAACAGTGCTGAGGCAGTGTGCCCAAACACCGAACTCCAGCTGCTATTTCTCACCATCACTCCATATCACATCTCACAGTCATTTGAGTCACTTCCTTATCAGTTTCCTTATCTTCTTTTTCTGAGTGAAGCGTCTTCTTCCAGTTTCCTTTCGGCTTCTTTGCGACGCTCCTCCTCGAGACGTGCAGCTTCACGCCGCTTCTTCTCCTCGCGCTCACGACGTGCCTCTTCAGCTCTGCGAAACTTCTCCTCCATTTCCTTGCGTCCGAAGATGTGCCGTCGAAGACAGATTGCATTTGAAAATGCAAGTGAGAGATGCTATGTGATGCTGTCAAAATATGAAAAATATGTAAACAAATGCATGACAACTAGCTGTCATCTGATGAGTTCGAGCAAAAACAGGTCCAGCTTTCCCCTTTCTTCGCAATTTACTCCGGATTTATTCGTGCTTTCAGGAAGCTGCCTCAGCTATGGAAGCTAAACAAATGTCAAACCATGTTGTACTCAGGAACTGCTGCAAAGTGTCCTTTCTCTGTTGTTCCTCTCGCTCTGCAGCTAGTCGCCTTTCCTCTGCACGACGCCTTTCTGACTCCTGGCAAGAACATGATGAACATGGAGATTACAGAGAGGCAAAATGAATCAACATCTACTATCAGTTACTATCATTGTGAATTGCCAAATTGCTATGAAACAAGAGTGGCCAGCTGTTCCAAGTGCCAGTTCTGCACTGCCGTTGCTGCTATGAAATTCTTGGTTCCTGTTTTTCCCGCTTCAACCTTTCCAAAGCTTGTCGGTCTCGCTCCTCAAGTATGGCAGGATACAGCACGACACAACAGGTCAGAATATGTTCAATGGATGTTCTGTGCATGGCCTTGCTTCAGCATGCTTCAACTTTGATTAGTGACTGTAATGTGTCTCAAACATTCCTCCTCCTCACGTCGGCGTTCTTCTGCCTCCAAGCGCTGTCTTTCCAGCTCGGCTGCTTGACGCCTGGGCTTTGCGATATTCCCACTTCGTGCCAGAACATTCTTGTCACATGTTATATAATTTCGCGTATCGTTCAATCATGTTCAATCTAATGGAAATCCTGAAGGGGCAACAGGAAGGAGTCTGTCTCTTTCCAATCTCGGCCTCAGCTCTTCTTTTCGCTTCCTTTCTGCTGCCTTTTCTCGCTCCTCGGCTGGCAATTGGTCAAGGGGAAACCTCGGGCCAAAAGCTTCAGATCTGTCGGTGTAGTTCGGTGTGACCGAGCGGGTGTTTGAGTTCAAGTTTTGTGTTCGGGGCGTGAAGATGTCGTGAGGGGCAGGGAGATTGAGCCGACTTGAGTCTTAACTTTCCCCCAAACCTCAACACTCCTCATTCCCCCCAAAAGCCTGGAAGGTCTAGAGCGTCATCACATGATATGAAGAGTTGCGTCATGGGCAGAAGCGGTTTACTGAGGAAAATGTGCCAAAGGTCCGAAAATGGTAATGTAAGCGTAATCTACCATCGTGCGCAATGCCGAATTGAATGCAAGAACCACCTTTGTCGCTTTAGAGACTCACCATACATAATATTTACACAATTTTACACACCTCCGCATTTTACTTGTAGACTTTTGCGGCTCCGTGAGCATCCGTGAGCTGTATGCAGCCGCACCAACAACCTCCAGGAAGGAGTCGTGGGTTGCAGTCCCTGAGCATGCACCGGCATGAAAGTTCAAATTCCATAAAATTCCTAGTTGATTTACCATAAAATTGAGACGCACCATGATAAACCGCAACAGAGGCTGCAAACACCTGGAAGATAGTCCGAGTTCCAGCCTGAACTTGAAGAACCGAAATTGAAGATTTTGAAATTGACAACTAAGGAGTGTAAGCCTTGTGCAAGCAGGTCAAGTTCAGATTTGAATTTGGTTTCGTTTTCGGAGGGGTGCGGCGGATAATCCATGAAGACACCACGCAGGCGACTTAATCTTTTGGAGTGGTCCGGTTCAAGTCGGAGTTGTGGGACACATGTGGACACCGTGTGAACCCTATCGGTTTGAACAATTCGAATTCTTATTCAAGCCTGGAGTAGGGAGGATTGTGGACATGATATGAACCCACGCTGTTTGAACAGGCTGCACCGATACAGCATCAAATCCGTAGAATATTATGGAACTGGGGACGTTTTGGGCATAAGATAAAGCCACAAGTTATCAGTCAGGAGAAGGAGATGGCTGTGAGAGTGAGGGCCGGCCTGAGCCAATGCAAAACTGCCGCTGGAAAAGCAAAGCAATAGAACATGTAAAACAACATTTCTCAAGATGCCTTGCAATATCTCGCAATATCTTAGCATTCTTCTTCTCGCAATATCTCACAAAGCATAACTTTGTTCTTTTAATAACAAGTGTTAACTAAAAAAGTAAATAAATACATGAATAAATATTACCCTCCAGTTATTCAACGGGTAAACCATCTATAAATGGTCCATTTTCCATGGCTATGTTAAATAACCAGAGGGTATATACACTTTTTTCTTCATTTTTCAGTCGCTAGGAAGCTGCTCCAGCTGTGCCGATTTTTCGAGGCATGTCGAGGCTCCATTCGCAGTTCCGCAGCTCGTTCAGCCATGGCCTGGCGCTGCTCTTCATGCAATGCCTCCGCCAAGTCCAGTTGAGGCTGCTGCAGCAAACCTGGCATGACTTTGATATCTTTACGTTATTCTACATTCATGAGCATTCATGAACTCAGCAAAAGATCATCATATCATGATAATATGAAATCGATTTAAAATTGTGTCTTGAACCAAATGCCGTTCATCATTAAGCGAAGTTCCAAAAAACTCAAGAAAAACACACGAAGCACAAACACTGCACTGTTTGCACTCGAAAGGGTGCATCACACGTTAGACAAGTTGGAACAGGGCACCTTTCCATATTATGCACATTTATCAAGCCTTTCAAGTCTGTCATTTTTGCATGGTACATGTTTGACAACATGGTCACTGGATAAAGTCAACATGACAAGATGCTGCAGGTTAATGCGCGAGATATGCGAGATATACACTGCCACAGCTTTGGCATACTCGGGAAGCTTACTGCAACACCACAGCAACCGCCGATCGTAGCCAAGCATCGTTTTTGACGGCGCTGCTGTGCTTCAAATCGGGTCAGGACATCTTGTAAGTTTTCCCTTTCTTTGCCTCGGGCCAGTGGATTTCTGCCTATGTATGCTTCGTCCCCAGCACTCATGACTGACAGTACAATGTACCACACGGGCAGCAGGCATCCTTGAACATAGCGTCACGCCAAGAATCTTCTTCAAGGAGAATCACAGCAGGGTGGCAATGGCTCTCTAACATGCCAAAACTGTAATATACTAAATATACATCTATATACTGTCAACTTTGAAAGCCACCCTTTTTCTAAAAAACAATGTAATTTGCAGAAGAGCAAGCTTGCTTTTCATCTTCATTTGGCCGCACCGTGCAGAGTTTTGGCAAACAAAGTTCTCACATGTTCTCAATTTGACATTTTGACACCTGGAGTGTGTCAAAATGTGGCGGGGAAATTGTAGCAGGGCGGTCCAAGGACATCCAAGCTGCGTAGCTGCTCTGCAACTTCAGATTTTCCCGCCTTGGACAACGGGGAATATATTTTTTGTATTCCAACGCATGTGGGATGTAGTGGATGTTGCGCAAATGTCACGAGTCGCGTGAAAGTCCGCATCTTTTGCTCTTGTTGATTGCTGGCAAGAGCGACCTTGGCATCTTCACTGGCCAGAGTGGGCTGGCGCATGACTGCTTTCCTGGGACTGGGAAGACGGGAAGACGCATCGTTCCGTATAATTAGTGTCCAGCTAGCCATCATCGTGACTGAGACTTCTGGCAAAACAAAGCTGCAACACCAGCAACAGTTTGACCCCAGCACCGCTGCATCCAATACAGCTGCCGCCCAGGCAACGTGCTAGGCACAGAATTATATAAACAACAAGTGATAAACAGGAACAAACCTGGCTCCCCTGTTTCATCAGCCTGCTATAAGTCAAGCAAACTGGCCCAACATGGGAAGCAACATGTTTGGGGGCGAGTCTTCTTAAACAATTAAAAGCACTTCAAATGGGGAAGTTGAGCGGACTGCTGAAACACGTGTTTGCGGATAGAATTACAACATACCGGAAAAAAAATAAAGAACAACAAAATGGCAAACATAGCAAAGCTGCTTTCGCCACTGTTGGTGGGCCAAGTCCTCCCTTGCTCCGCGGTTTTTCTTCCAGTGCTCCCTTTTGGCAACCTGCCAACTTATAAAAGAACACTTATGACACCATGGGACACTAGGACCGGAGCAATCTTGTTCTGAACTAGTCGATTGGCAAATCAAAACGCTCTAGCCTCATATTTTGAGGCAAAAGGATGCGAAAGGCAACTCAAACACGTTAAGATTTCTTGGAACGTGCTTCCAGTTTTGTCACTGGGTTCCTGCATCATAATCAAGCTACAGTAGCTGCAGTGGGACCGAGGGGCAAATAATCTGTTCGTACATGTTCGCACATTTAATAGCTATTGCCTTTGCTGGCAAACCTTCAGGGGCCGCCTGCAACATCTTCGTCAAAACCAGGAGTTGCACAGGATGAACATGGTGAAACACTATTTTAAAAATGACCGAAGGAAGTTTACAAACTTCCGACGGCAGATGAAAAGCAGAGCAGGGAAGAGGCAGATAGAAGAGAAAGATTAGAAGAAAGAAGAGTAGAAGAGAAAGAGTAAGAAGATAGAAGATGCACATGCGCGAAAAGGTAGGAAAGTTTTCGGAAAGTCGCGAAACACTGTGTTTTTCCAATGATTTGGGGCTCCGGAGGGTCGAAGAGTAGGCTCGCTAAAGCGGCGGGTGCGGAGCCAGCTGGCCAGGTGAGAGATGAACAATTGCACGCCGTTGTGGCGCGAAGCACATTTCCAAGTCAAAATGTACAAAACACACCATTCTCGGACCACCTTTGGAAGTTGAGATGTCGAAAAAGTGCACGCCGTTGTGGCGCGAAGCACGTTTCCAAGCGAAAATGTACAAAGCAGACCAGCTTCGGACCACTTTTGGAAGTTGAGATGTCAAAAAAGTGCCCGCCGTTGTGGCGCGAAGCACATTTCCAAGTGAAAATGTACAAAGCACACCAGCTTCGGACCACTTTTGGAAGTTGAGATGTCGAAAAAGTGCACGCCGTTGTGGCGCGAAGCACATTTCGAAGTCAAAATGTACAAAACGCACCAGCTTCGGACCACTTTTGGAAGTTGAGATGCCGTTGTGGCGCGAAGCACATTTCCAAGTGAAAATGCACAAAACACACCAGCTTCGGACCACTTTTGGAAGTTGAGATGTCGAAAAAGTGCACGCCGTTGTGGCGCGAAGCACATGTCCAAGTGAAAATGTACAAAGCACACCAGCTTCGGACCACTTTTGGAGGTTCAGATGTCGCTTCGCTTCGCTTCACTACATTACACTACATTCCACTCCACTACACTACGTTACACTACACTACACTCCACAACACTACAACTACAACTACACAACTACACAACTACACTCCACTACACTACAACTACAACTACAACTACACAACTACACTCCACTACACTCCGCTACACGAAATTACCCTACACTACACTACACTACATTACACTACACTCCACTACATACCTACATACATTACACTACACTACACTACCTTCCACTACACTTCACTACATTACACTGCACCACACTCCACTACACTACAACTACAACTACACTACACAACTACACTCCACTACACTCCACTACACTCCACTACACTAAATTACACTACACTACACTACATTACACTACACTACACTCCACTACACTACACTACATACACTACACTACACTACCTTCCACTACACTTCACTACATTACACTACACTACACTCCACTACACTACAGCTACAACTACACAACTACACTCCACTACACTCCACTACACTTAAATTACACTACACTACATTACACTACACTACATTCCACTACACTCCACTACACTACACTACATTACATTACACTACATTACACTGAATGACACTGCACCACAGATAGACAGGTAGACAGATAGACAGATAGATAGATAGATAGATAGACAGATAGACAGGTAGACAGCTAGACAGATAGACAGATGAAAGAAAGAGAGAGCGAGAGAGAGAGAGAGAGATAGACAGACAGGCAGACAGAAAGACAGGCAGCCAGCCAGACAGACAGACAGATAGATAGGTAGGTTAAATAGATAGATAGGTAGGTAGGTAGGTAGGTAGATAGTCAGAGAAAGAGAGAGAAAGAGAGGAGACCTCAAGCACCTTTTGGTCCATCAGTGGCTTCGCTCTGCCATCCCTGATTCACAACAACCAACCTCTCCTATAGGTTTTCTATTTTTGAAACTTCCGCCGAACTTCCGCCACCGCCTTGTGCGGTACTACTGGTACTTAATATCTCTTGGTAGATCTTAGTAGATTCTGTCAAGCCACTGCAGTGTCAAACACCGTATCCCAGTCCATGATCTGCTGATCCCACTGTGCTCGAGCTTCACGTGCTTGTTGCACCATGCTCGTCTTTGGCACCTTGAGCAGTGGCACTGGTTCAGAATGGCATCCATTGCAATGAACAAATCATCCACAAATCATCAACAAAAATGTACAGCTCAGTCATTAAGCTGCAAAGGGAACGGTGTAAGTGTTTCAGAGCTGCACATGGAAACGCCAGGCATTTGAGCACTCTCATAATACAAGCAAAGGATGGTGCATCCACATATTCCGAAGACAACAAATGAAAACAAGAGGGGCATCACTGAAAGCCACCCGGCACTGCCAAAGAGAGACTTCAAGTACACATCACAAAGTCTGGAAAAGTAAAAAGGAATGATTTCGGAATGATAGGCAATATCTTTATCTCTCATAAAACGCGTTTTTGATCACAAGGTTGGCGCTCTGAATTGAAGGAATTTGTCAGAGGGGATGGGACATGCAGCAGGACATACCATCACAATACATTCGCAATACATTCACAATCGTTTTGATTCAGGGAACCAATGCCGCAGAAACAATCAAGGAACTGCGCTAAAAAAATGCAAGGGCGGGGGTTTCTCTCCCCAGGTAGTTTCCTCAAATGTGAGGGGGTTGACCATTTGCATTTCTTTACTTTTCTTTAGAACCTAGGTGGTTTTTCAACTCCAAAGTGTGTTGGTGATGCAGTGATGAATTCAGGTCAGGTGTCAAAACTCAGCCAACATGCCCTTTGCAAGTGTTAGTCCTCAATGTTCATCCGGATAACAAGCAGGCTGAAGAACCGGAGAAAAACCATTGTTTTCTAGGACATAGCGGGCATTGCCTTCACGGATAAAATTTTCGACCAGCAGGGGCGTGAATTGAACAATGAATCACAAAGCTTGGCGGACAAGGAGACCTTTCTTGAAAGACCTTCCCAAAACATCCCAAAACCACGCCCATGGTCACACATTTCATTTTTTCTCCCTGTGGACTTGTGGCAAACTTTCGGAAACTTGAAAAATGGAATGAAACAAAACAGTAAAATGTGCATTTGCATATTCATACTTCAAAAAAATTCATCGCATTGTTATCACTTGTCATATCTTGTCATATCTTGTCATCACATGTTCCGACACGTTCACACCACATATCACAAGCCACGCATGGCCTCTGCCGCTTTGGCCGCAGCTTCTGCAGCTAATTTGGCCGCTTCAGCTGCCTGCGCCTTCTCGGCAGCTAACCGGGCTTTCTCCGCAGACCGAAACTGTCTGAGGAGTTCATCTTCCAGCTCTCGAATGCGCCTCGTCCAAAGCTTCAGAAAATGCCACGCAGTGGCTTTTTCAACACCACCATCAGTAGCGGCAAACAACTTGGCATAATGGCCAAAATTTGGCAAAACTTACAAAAAATCACTTTGGCACAGCACGGCCATGCTTTCTAAGCGGACAATTTCGCGCCCAACAGCTATAAAGGTTATACGAAGTCAAGTTGGCACAAAACGGCCAAGGGTTGTTCACAAACAATCGTGCTGAAATCCTGAGGAGAGTGGTGGCAATGCTGGACACTACTTGCGTCAGCAATGAAATAGTACCAACTGGCTTTGCACAGAACAGCCAAGCGGTATAAGAAAGTAATGGTAGACAAAAGGGCCAAACCTTACGAGCTGGCTTTGCACAAAACGGCCAAGGGTAAAAAGCAAACAACGTTGTCAATAGTGCACAAAAGGGCCAAGTCTTACCAACTGGCTTTGCACAAAACGGCTATATAAGCGTTGAAAGCAAACAATTGTGCAGAAAAGGGCCAAGCCTTACAAACTGGCTTTGCACAAAACGGCCAAGGGTAAAAAGCAAACAACGTTGTCAATAGTGCACAAAAGGGCCAAGTCTTACCAACTGGCTTTGCACAAAAGGGCTATGTAAGCGTTGAAAGCAAACAATTGTGCAGAAAAGGGCCAAGCCTTACAAACTGGCTTTGCACAAAATGGCCAAGGGTAAAAAGCAAACAAAAATGCAGAAAAGGGCGACGCCTTACGAACTGGGCTTTGCACAAAACGGCCAAGCAATGCAAGCAAACAATAGTAACCAAAGTGCGCAAAAAGGGTCAAGCCTTTTGAACTGGCTTTGCACAAACTGGCCAGGGGTTATACGCAAACGATGATGCGCAAGAGGGCCAAGCCTTACGATCTGGCTTTGCACAAACTGGCAAGGGGTTATAAGCAAACAATGATGCGCAAAAAGGCCAAGCCCTTCGAACTGGACACTTTTGGCGCACAACACAGGTGACGGCCAACGATGTTGAAAGGACACTGACAATGTTGAACGTTGAGAGGTGAAACTTCCCAACTAAACTTCCATTCGAAGCATGCGACAATCGCTCCGCGCTGGTTCCGCCATGCTTGAACGACTCTTGACACCCGCGCACACACACACAACACAGCAACATTTAAATGCTCCAAGGGTCAAAAGGCATCACACCCGATCTGAAACACCAGAGGGTGCAATGTAAGATAGCCTTGTTTAGATGAGATGAAGAACTTGTTCTGGTTTTGCGCGTTCAGTGGCTTGTTGAAATTACGGCAAATGATGGTGAATCCTTGAATCACTTCCCTGCACCCAAGGATGTGACAAAAACACATGGAGCCATGAAAAGCAAAAAGTTAAATGAAGTTAACATGCATTCATGCAAAAATAGTACAAACATGTACAAACTGTGTAAGCATGAGCTCAACAGCTGTGCTGAGCCTGGTGAGCAGCTCAATCTGGAAATGAATTAACTCTTCGGGATCTTCCAAGCACAACTGCTCCAGCTCTTCCTGCAGGGCGGATCAGGGCGGCCACGCTGACACGGCTCACTACTGAGCAACACCTGCATTTCATTTGATCATTTGACATCATCTGATCTGTCAAAATGGATCCAAAATGGTTCAACATGGTTTAATTAAACATGTTTAAACATCAAAGATTCTGTCAAAGGACCATTGCGATGGCTCTCCGCTGTTTATTCCGCTGTTTATGCCTGACCCTTTCCAGGCTCGCAATCCTGGCTATCCAAAAACATATCCACCAGTTTGTCAATTTTGACTTTCTTTTTTGTTTTTTCTGGCTTCTTCACTTGCGCCATCTTTTCCTCAATTCCACGAAAGTCCACACATCAGCATGTCTGAATCATCTGAACAAAGCCTCTGCAAGTCTTGGAACCTTTCTACCTCCAAGGGTTTGACCGTGGGTGGCTGTGTGTTTGCGCCTTTCGGCTTGCGGCTTGAGGGAACTACATGGAACTACTATCTTGCCGAAAGAATAAGCAATCGTTTTTGGCGCGGCAATGTGCTGCAGATAACACATGCTCTCCAAGTGCTGCCCTGTCTCTTTCAGAACTTGTCTTCCAAGACGAACCCAATGGGCCAGAACTTTTCTGGTACTGATGCTCACCTGAAAATTCCGAGTCTCAGTGTTGCATAAGTTGCATAAGTTGAATTGTTTGCAATATGCATGCAATATTCTTGCGATACGTAGCATCCCGGCATCCCGCTGCTCACACTGCTTTCAAGATCTTTCAAGATCTTTCAAGATCTTTCAAGATCTTTCAAGATCTTTCAAGTAACTGTTTGTCAGTTTGGCCAAGCGACAGCTACATCTGGAAAGTCAACGCCTCCTTTGAGTGCCAGCACTTGGGCAGTTCGCGATGGAGCCACCTGAACTCTGTTTGGAGAAAGCGTCTCCTGCACAGGGCACCAACAAACGTCTTCATAGTAAACCCCACAAAGCACTCGGCATCACTCGGCAAGCCAACCAACAGACTACTGCTGCAGCTATGCAGCAGTCTATATGCACTGCATATGCCTAGATGATATCTCTGTTGCATAATCACACTTAATAACATCTTTAATCATATCGAGTATGAACCAGTGATACATTCTATTATCATTCTACGATCTTCATTGAGGTTCTGTGAAGACATTGGTTTCCGCGCAGCTCTCCTGCATCTCTGACTGCTGGTTCCGTGCTCTTGGCTGCCGTGGCCGCACAGGTTGCGGGGTCTGCTCAACTTGACCTCGTTGTGCAGCTCCGCGATTTGCAATGCGCTGCGGCCTCAACAAAGTCGCTTCAACACGTCTGGCATGTTCGTAAAGGATGATTGAGGACTAAAGACTGTACCTTTGGTCTGTTACATGTTGTAATATATATATATATATTATGTAGGATATATTGATAATATATCTTAAATCAGTAGAAAACAATACAATACACAATAATGTAGTAAAATGTATGTGTATATATATATATGTATATACATATGACATGTGTCTGTAAATGTCAACGGGGTGATCATGAGACTGCCCCGTTGATAGTCAGAAAATGTCAAGGGTGAGCCTTTCTTGGCTGTTCAGTATGTTCAGTGGCGCTGCTGTGCTTCTAATGTTTCTAATGTTTCTAGAGTCTAGTTTCCAAGGTGATCCAAGGTGCTGAGGCAAGGAAGAGCTGTCGATTACCCTGGGCTTCTTCCTGGCAGGCTGCAACATGCTGCAACATGCTGCAACCTATTTGAAAGTTCCGTTTCCACGGACAGCCAAGCTGCCAAGCTTGGTTTTGTCATTGGGGCCGGGCCCACCGGGAAGTCTGTGGACCATCTTCCACTTTGAAAAAAGAAACAAGCCATCTGCCATACATCTTGCTCTGCACATGAACCTTGCATGAAACCGTGCGCCATGCTTACTGTCATGCTTCACTGACACATTTTCCTGACATGTTCTTTTTTCACGGTCCCCCCACCGCAATGATCTTGATGACCACCCCGTGCCCCCAATCCAACCGCACCTTGTCACGCCCAGGAGGTCCGTGCTGCCATCGTCCTGACGTAAAACTTGGTGGCTTCACTGAGCGAAACATTGAAATTTAGAAATAACATGAAACAACATGAAACAACTATAGACTATAGTTAATTAGTGTTAATTACATTTCCGCAAATGTCATTGAGGTAGCAGTGGACCATCCGGCGCATCGCTTATGCACACTTCGGTGGACTTCCCGAAGGATCTGCAACTTTGTTTTCACCATGTAACACCATGTGACTTTATTTCTCCCGGCTCCTCTTCAACCCTGAGCTCAGTATCAGCCCTAACTCGTACAGGTTCGTGCCGGGCAACTTCTGGTGAGGCATCCTGAACACAATTTCAAACGCCCGCCAGTCTGCCAGTTGTAAATTAATATATAAATAAATTAAGATACTAAAGTAGATCACAATATTTGATTGTGTGAGATCTCGTGGTCCCCAAATATTGGAACATTATTTTCATCCTGCATCTTCTGCACATGAAAACCAGCTTGACCAGCCAATGGTCAAAAAACCAGCAACGGCAGATCCGTGCAAACGACTGGTGAAGGTCACGGAAACCTACCAGATCTACCAATCTCTTGAAATCAAAACGGGCTTCCAATGTTTCCACATGCTATCCCAACTGATATGATCCCAAGATCCAGTACATGCATGAGTATGCACTTGCATGCAAAAAATGCCAAGATGTGGCAAGATGTGGCAAGATGTGCTAGTGTCATCGAGTGTCCTTGGCGTTCGGCGCATAGTCTGCCACCCTCGACTTACTTGAGCTGGAGCCCATGAGCCCAGGCTCTCCCCATGGCAAACTGGACGCGCCCGGTACCGGTAGTACCGGTAGTACCGGGAACAGCTTGGCCAAATACTCGGCTTCTTGTGAGACGATCACTGCGCTGATGAAAATGCACAGGTCAACTGTGAATTTCAGTTGGCACTTGGAATGCAAAGTGTTGATCTTTCCACTGCTGCCCAAAACTCCAGGCATCGGCCTTGATGTAGCCATATGTAGCCTAAAGATGCCTAAAGCACCTTCCCAAACCTATCCACGTTATCAAAAATATCGTTGGCATTATTCAACTATTCATTCATACTTTCCATACAAAACACTAGGCACTTCTTCGTTTTTTGAGTGAGTCCATCATGCACATCCTTTCATACTTGACTGATCATGAGTGCTTCAACCTACAACGGGAGATAGCTGAACAGGATACCGGTGGCGTTGTGTGTGATGCAGCTGCCTGTAACTGGGCAAGAATGGGCAAGAACCACAATTGGACAAGAAATCCGACCATATCCGACCCAAAACCAAACGAATCTGCAACAAAATAGTTCCATCATGGTCCGTTCTCCAATGAGCAAATGCCCTCCATGTTTCCTGCAATTTTGCCATAGCTGGAAGTGAATGTCCGAAGCCACCGTTGGTTCTGCTCCAGGGACAATGGCTGAAGAGACCCGGGGAAGCGTGAGACAACATGCATCAAGATCCTGCTCTGTTTAGCTCTGCGCCCAAAGCGCAAACATGCGCAATTGCCTGAAAGACTTAGTGGATCTGCGCAGATCTCAGCGGATCTCAACACTCTCAGCGGCGAAGTGTCTGGACCTGGCAATTTGAAGATCGAATTTTTTTGCGAGCCCTTGGCCCTGTCCCTCTCAATTGAAAAGACAACGCAAAGAGTCAAAGAGACGCAAGTTTTCATAAACAACTTTGAGCTTCTTCTTTTTCCTTCGAGCTCCTGCCTATCTCGCTCCTGGAGTGATTTTTCAGCAGGAGCAGCCCACATTTGTGTTGAGGCCGAGTGGAAGTCATGGACATCCAAGTCTTTGCGTGGCAAGTTGTGCACGTTCCACGCACAGTTCTGCAGCCTTGCAGACCCTTGAGGTCAGACAAACCTACAACATGCAACAAGTGCAACAAATTCAGGCCTGGAGCCGGCATCCAAAATGATCGGCGCAATGCAGGCACGGTGTTGAAAACATGAGCCAAAAATTAGGGGCATTTGCCCGGCCCAGGTTTACACAGAGGTTCGCCAGGGAAAGCTCTCACAGCTCTGCCTACAGCTCTGCTTGCTTGGTATCAGTCTTTCTCACCTGGTCATCTCCATGTGCAATCGCCAAAGCTGCCGCGTGGTACTTGTCATTCTGATTCAAAGCATATGAGGTCAGGACATTTTTGCGTCGACACTCCTCGAGGCAAGCCTCCCAGGTGGCAGACTCTCCCTCTTCAAGCTTCTTCTTGCAGCAGCAGTCATGTAGTGCGAACAAGATTGGAGACAAGAAAGGCCTCAGAAGGAGTTTGAACAACCAGAAGAGGATGTAGTACACACAGAAGACCAAGAAGATGCAGAAAATCAACCAGCAGCCCTGGCGAGCCATATCCATCATTCGGGCTTCATAGTACTTCCACTGCAAGCTGGGCTTCTCAATCGCTGGTGCGGAGAGGTACTCAGCTGTCACAGAGTTATATTCCTCCTGGGGTAGTTGGTCTTTGGATGTCTTTGGATCATGGACCTTACCTTTATGCAGTTTATTATTTTAGGGCAAAAGTGGCATAAGCTGGTGCCATAATTAAAAGATTATGTTTACTCATGTCTACTCTTTATGTGCTCAGGCCTGTTGACTGTCTGATCTCAATCTGAACTGCATTGAAAACGGCTTCAAACTGCTATCGTCCTCAGACAGGAAAAGCATCTCTGCCACAAAGAGCAAATTGCTCCAATTGCTGGGCACCAATGACTGGTTTCCATAGGTCCACCCAGCAATGACTGTGTGCAGGAATGCGGCAAGAGGCAAGAAGTTCAAGCACACATTGAGAATGCTCTGGTTGTATGCAGGTGGTTTGGAGGAGCCTTTGAGCAAACACCATTTATCCAACCAGAAGGCGACAATGCTGTAGATGAAACCCACGACGTACAACAAAGGCATCCCACCTGCACAGGTGGCCCAAAACGCAATGGATTTAGATTTGATAGAGACATATCACGATACCTTAATGACTCATGCAGTTGTTGTGTGATGTTGTGGTACAAGGTGAAACAACCAAGTCAAAAAAACACGAAACCAATCCCTGTGCCCCACCATGCCACCTGAATACATGCAAATGACAAATACCACCGTGAGTGTCTGAGCCATCCTCAAGGACAAGTTCCATGGAGGAAGCACGTAGATTTCGTTCAAACGTGCTTGAACTACTTCTCCACGTGCAACGCAACATGACAAGCACGGCTTCACGATGAAGGCCATGATCAGAGGTGGCACGGTTGTGCTAAAGACCTTGTCATTGAGTGTCAAACAGGCACTGCCACATGACACTGTGAGCTTACTGCATGCCCCCCCCACTCATGCTAACAAGATCTAACAAGGAAAAGTAGAATCCTAGTGGGATGCGTGGCAAGGTGATGCAAGGTGTACACTGTGTGCGAATATATAATATATTATATTGTGCAAGTGCATCAAGAAAGCCAGAAAGCCTCCAGTCTCATACCGCTGCCAATCATATGAAGTGCCCGTGCCGTGCATTCCCTTACATGAATTTGACATGATGTTACAATCTTTTTACACTATTTTACATGCCTTTATCAATCTTTATCAATCTTCACCAGTAGTACCGCACAAGGCGGTGGCGGAAGTTTCAAAAATAGGAAACCTATAGGAGAGGTTGGTTGTTGTGAATCCGGGATGGCAGAGCGAATCCACTGATGGACCGAAAGGTGCTTGAGGCCTCCTCTCTTTCTCTCTCTTTTTCTGACTACCTATCTATCTATCAATCTGTCTAGCCATCTATCTGTCTATCTATCTATCTATCTATCTTTCTATCTATATATCTATCTATCTATCGCTCAAAACCGTCTCTCTATCTATCTGTCTATCTGTCTATCTGTCTAGGTACCTATCTTTCTATCTATCGATCTTTCTATTCATCCATCTATCTACCTACCTACCTACCTATCTATCTATCAATCTGTCTAGCCATCTATCTATCTATCTATCTGTCTATCTATCTGTTTATCTATCTATCTATCTATCTGTCTATCTGTCTATCTGTGGTGCAGTATCATTCAGTGTAATGTAGTGTAGTGTAATGTAGTGTGGTGTAGCGGAGTGTGGTGGAATGTAGTGTAGTGTAGTGTAGTGTAGTGTGGTGTAATTTAGTGTAGTGGAGTGTAGTGGAGTGTAGTTGTGTAGTTGTGTAGTTGTGTAGTTGTAGTTGTAGTGTAGTGGAGTGTAGTGTAGTGTAAGGTAGTGAAGTGTAGTGGAAGATAGTATAGTATAGTGTAATGTAGTGTAGCGGAGTGTAGTGTAGTGAAGTGTAGTGTAATGTGATGTAGTGTAGTGTAGTGTAGTGGAGCGTAGTGTGTGTAATGTCCTCTAGTGTAGTGTAGTGGAATGTAGTGTAGTGAAGCGAAGCGACATCTGAACTTCCAAAAGTGGTCCGAACCCCTGGTGTTTTTAACATTTTGACTTCGAAATGTGCTCCGCGCCACAATGGCATGCACTTTTTCGACGTCTGAACCTCCAAAAGTTCCAAAAGTGGTCCGAACCCCTAGTGTTTTGAACATTTTGACTTCAAAATGTGCTCCGCGCCACAACGGCATGCACTTTTTCGACGTCTGAACCTCCAAAAGTTCCAAAAGTGGTCCGAACCCCTAGTGTTTGAACATTTTGACTTCAAAATGTGCTCCGCGCCACAACGGCATGCACTTTTTCGACGTCTGAACCTCCAAAAGTTCCAAAAGTGGTCCGAACCCCTAGTGTTTTGAACATTTTGACTTCAAAATGTGCTCCGCGCCACAACGGCATGCACTTTTTCGACGTCTGAACCTCCAAAAGTTCCAAAAGTGGTCCGAACCCCTGGTGTTTTTAACATTTTGACTTCGAAATGTGCTCCGTGCCACAACGGCATGCACTTTTTCGACGTCTGAACCTCCAAAAGTTCCAAAAGTGGTCCGAACCCCTGGTGTTTTTAACATTTTGACTTCGAAATGTGCTTCGCGCCACAACGGCGTGCGCTTTTTCGACATCTGAACCTCCAAAAGTGGTCCCAACCCCTGGTGTGTTTTGTACATTTTGACTTCGAAATGTGCGTCGCGCCAGAACGGCGTGCACTTTTTCGACACCTCAACTGCCAAAACTGGTCCGGAGCTGGTGTGCTTTGTACATTTTGACTTCGAAATGTGCTTCGCGCCAGAACGGCGTGCACTTTTTCGACATCTCAACTGCCAAAACTGGTCCGGAGCTGGTGTGCTTTGTACATTTTGATTTTCGAAATGTGCTTCGCGCCACAACGGCGTGCAATTGTTCATCTCTCATCTGGCCAGCTGGCTCCGCACCCGCCGCTTTAGCGAGCCTACTTTTCCACCCTCCGGAGCCCCAAATCATTGGAAAAACGCAGTGTGTCGCGACTTTCCTACCTTTTCTCGCATCTGCATCTTCTTTCTTCTTACTCTTTCTCTTCTACTCTTCTTTCTTCCAATCTTTCTCTTCTCTCTGCCTCTTCCCTGCTCTGCTTTTCATCTGTCCATATTGTCGGAAGTTTGACTTCTAAACTTCCTTCGATCAATCTTTATCAATCTTTATCAATCTTTATCAGCTCATCTCAGGGCCTGGCCTGCATGAAGATGGTGATACAAATGCCGGTGCCCACAGACACATACCACGTCACTGACAGCTCATCAAATTGGCCCGAACCCACTTGAAAGACCTGAAGGAATTGGAGAACTGGAGGCAAATTCAAAGACGCGTTCACCAAGAGAACCAGCAATGCCGTGTTCACCATCTGCGCCAAAAACAGCTTCCAGAACTGGCTCAGTGTTACTTCTGTCACTGTGCAATGCCTTTCGAAAGCCACCAGGTACTCGTAAATCAACAAGAGCACTTGATTTATCACCAGCACAGCCAGAGCAGCACCAACGACCTTTCCGACAACAGCCGCGTTGTTCATGATCCAAGCTTCACAAATCATCTTTTCATCGGTGTCATATGGTGGAAAAGCAACGCCCGCTCCCTGGCTGAGGGTTTGCTGCTGACAAAAGCAATTGATGATTGGATTCAGCATCCTCTCATCGCTTCCAGAAGCAAAACTCTCCCATCTAGCCTTGGCCACCTCCACAGTGATTTCCGTCGAACATGACATGTCTTGCGACACCTTGTTGTCTGTGCTTGTCCAGGCAACATTCTGAGAGTCTGGGGTAAGTGCATTGAGATACATAGGAGCGCAGTTTTCTTCAACATTCCAACATGTCCGGTTTTCAGCCGCTGGAGGTGCGCTTGGACATGCGAACAGTTGCACTTCTTCAGGCTTGATCGAAGGGGGGAAAGTCGCTTGCCAACACTGGACCTGCTGTTTGCTCTCAAACTCAATGCCAATCCAATCTGTATTCATGGATGCCTCTGAGTCCGTGACACCACATGTACCAGCATGCTGAGACCTCAAGGTTGCGGAAGAACATGGTGATGTCCAGTTGTTGGAACAATCGCTTCCCCAGGTGCCATAGTCGCTCACGTAGTCATTGAACTGGTCAAAATACTTCACAGTCTCCCAGCTGCTTGATGGATCCCCACTGCACAAACGGTCTGCGAACAAGTCCAAATCACAGAATCCCAAGCATGTGTTGCTGTCTGGTGTGGACTTCACGACCCAAACCAGTTGCTCATTCATGTTGGCAAGGGTGGATTTGGACAATGACTGGAAGAAGACCAGGGCCGCAGAGCAAATGATGAGGAACATAAAGGTGAGCAGAATCACGAAACAAACGCGGCAGTAGCGTTTCCAGGGAGCAAAGTCCAAGTTCTCCCAGTAGAGGTCACTTGGCTCGCAAGCTTCTTGGATCAAAAGTGGGGAGCCTTCGAAACGAAGATCCTTGTTCTGGCAGCATCGAAACATGATGAAACGCGAGAAGCGATAGTGATCCAAGATCTTCTCCTGGTACGAAGCTTTGGAGAACGTCACGAAGGCACGAACGACACCACGCTGTTCATCACTCATCTCTGCTTGGGTTCTGATGCTGCGCTCGATACGTTTCATCTGGATGTACTTTTTGATACTTTTCTTCTCCAAGCTGGCATAGCTTTTCTTGCTCGCAGCATCTTCTTTTCCTTCCAATTCCTTCAGGGGGGGAAACATGGAAAACATACTTGACAGAAAAATCAAACCAACCTGTGGACCCAATGGCCTCTGATGGGAAGCAGCAAAAACATGAGGCGCTAGCCATGTCTAAAACCAGTGTCATTTTCATCCCATTCCTTCATCCGAATGATGTCTCCATGTTGGCTTAGAAGGAGATTCCCTTTCTTTAGAAAAGTGCTGATGGCACCGTCGTAGTTCCTCACCAAGCACACCTCCGCAACTGCAGAAGGGTCTTCAATGCCAAGGCTTTGGAGGATCGAGATGAAGTGCTGTTTCAATTTCTGTTCATATTGTTCATGACCATCGGCCAATTTGTAGGGCAGAACAGTAATGTCAACAGCAAAATCTGGAGGAGTAAGATGGGCATCGTCATTCTTTCGCACAACTCGGGGAATGTGGCAACGTTGAAACAAGATGCCCCAAGCGAGCACGATGAGAATTCCGAGACCATCTGCCAAACCAAGCCATTGCGTCACGTCCCTCAGAGGCACTTCACATGGGAACTGGTTCCAGGCACAGCGCGACTGTACCTCTTCATCTGTTGTGCACCGACCACCTTCACAAGCTCCCAGGTTCCCAATCGTAGTCATCCCCAAGTACTTGTAGAGGGCGCTGTTCTCATTCACCATGTTGCCCATGATGTTAAGGGCGGAGTTGCCCCCAACCACGATGGCACAAAGCAAAAACACAAGACCCATCTGCCTGATGAATTGGAAGTACAAAGATACGCCAACCCCAAAGACGCCAAGTTCGGACGCTCCAGTGCCGCAACAAGACTTGTACTTGTAGCGTCCTGTGGTCTCATCAAACTCGGTACATGCGTTCTTGTCCCTGTGCATTTTGGCAGCTTCTTTCAACTCCTCGCGGCTTTTGATCTGCACATGTGCTTCCAAATCCTTCAAATGCTTTCGAGCTTCTTCCTCCATCTGTTCCTTGTTAGTCTTTGTGCTTGCTGGGCTTGTTGGACTTGTTGGTTCCGCTTCGCGGGCCGGAACTGCTGCCATCTCGGCACTCGGCACGACAAGTACAAGCCGCTCAAACGCGAACCTCTGAGAGGCACCAAAATGTCTGACACAAAAGTCTTGAAGCCAAAGGATGCAAGAAGGACATAGAAGGACCCCAAAGGGACCAAAGTCATTGAATAATTTTGAATGATTAATATTGAAAAATATATCGAATATGACATGGTCTGCGTCACTCCAAAACATTCGAACTCACTTCCAACCAGAAGCAAACATATTCAACATGCAGGAACATGATGCACAAGATGCACATGATGCACAGATATGCACAGAATGCAAAAATGCAAAGACAAGCAAATATGCACGTGTTGTATTGGTGTTGTCACGTGTTAGAGTTTGCACTAGTCAACCTGCTAACGGCTGGCAGGCTGACCGCCAAACCGTTTCGAACCCACAGCTTGAAGGCTCTCGAGGGCACCGCCAAAGAAAAGAGCCCCTAACATGTTCACATAGGACATCATAGGACATTTAATTCATTCTAATTCTAACATATTCTAACATATTCTAACCGTTGTAAATCAAGGAGGCATGCCCTTGATGGAGAGAAATATCCAGGATATGTTTTGATGCTCTGCTTCTTGCTGCATGCATATTGTGTCAAATCGTATCCTTTCTGAGTTGGAAATGCTTGCTGCTCAAGACTGTCTTGGGCACTGCTTGGCTCTTAAGACTTTTGATCCAGAGCTTGATGAAAGCGGATGTCTGCGACTCTGCAGGAATGACATCAACTTTAATTTGCAGAAATGTTGGATCTGTCCGGTCAATTCTTATTGTGACAAACCAGGTCCAAGTAACCCGACACGCCAAGTATGGCCAAGCGACTCCCTCAGCTGCCTTTTCCGAGCTTGCGAAGTTCGTTCGGACGCCTTTTCTGCGCTTGCTAAATGCTGACTTGCGCTGGAAACTCCACGGCGCCTTTGCTCGTCTAGCAGAGCGTGAAGCAACACGAAGCACCTGAATTGCACAATTGCACTGTGACACTGCGCCGTTATTCGCTGCAACGACTGGACTGCGCGTCACCAGCTGCAGCATGCTTCACAAAACGCTTAGACATGCTTAGACATGCTTAGACTCCTTGGCCCGTCTTAGTCTGGTTTCGTGACTCTGAGTCTCCTACCCTTGGCAGTCGCTGGCACACAACAACTTCAAAGGGAGCTGATTGACGCCCGGAACGCAAGTCCTTCAAAGCGCCAAAAATGCACCGCTGGACATGCACGCTAGCACACACGTGCGCGCACGCGCGCGCACACACACACTTACACTTGACACTTGCAGAGGTGGCAAAAACTCACTCAAGAACAACCACCGACTTCGAGTGCCTATATGTACCCATGAATCCTATGAAAACATCACATTTCAAAGGGGTCCATCTGATCGATGACATGAAGCATGTACCGGCCAAGAAACTTCGAATTTCTTTGGACATCTTTTCTCAACATTGAAATGCTGGTGCAACGCTGGTCCACTGCTACCTTCCTGGCGCAATACTACCTAAATTTTCATCAAATCTTCTCCTCGACCAATCGGCTTGCATGGTGGTGTTCCACATCCAGCGCCCAGCCCCCTTTCACTTTGGCAACTCGACCAACCATGGCGGTCTTTGGCAGAAGAGAACCCACCTTGGCAACTTCGGCAATTTCTCCTTTCACTGTGCAAAACTCACCAATCGGAACAGGAACTGCTTTGAACAATTTTGAAAATGCAGTTGGTGAAACTCCTTTCAACTTCCACGCTTGCCGCAACTTGCCACAGCAACTTGCGCAATTATGACTTTCACATATCAATTGTCAATCCTTCCATGTTACATGTCTTTCCGTCATGGAGTCGCCAACGCATCAATGCCATAAGTGCAATCAATATCAATCAATACAAATCAAGAGGTGCATCATGGATCATCATTGTGCATCCAAGCAACGATGCGCCGGGCTTCGCCCTCTGTGCTGGCAATGCTATGGTCAGGATCATTCGCCAAAATGCAAATGTAGCCCTTTCTTCCACTGAGAATAGATGGGCGGTCACGCACAGCTCGTTGCAAGTCTGCATGCCGACTGTCCAGAATGGCCATGGCAGTTGCGAGAGCTTGAGGACCTTGTTCTTCGAGGAGCTGCGAAGCTTCTTCCATGACTTGTTCATATTCCTCTGGCTGAACGCCTCACATCAAATGACATCAAAACATGAAACAATTTTTGCAGATCTCATCAAATTCCCAGCTCAGGAATTGACGGGACGATCAAATCACAGCAGATCACAGCAGTAGCAATATCGGATATGGTATCACTGATATCGCGTTATATATATATATATCGTTTGACCCGCTTTGAAAAGAGTGGCCCAAGGCACTGAAAATCTGATCCAACAATCTGCTGACGGAGGCATTGTGAATGTTCACAGGGCCGGGCAGAGGGAGCATGGCGAAGTCGTGGTTCGTCAGAGACCGAATTCGTTGAACCAATTTCCTCTGCGACGCATCGTAAAATGTGATGCAAGTGCCACCCTGCCCAGCACGTCCAGTTCTGCCAGACCGATGAATATACTGCACAGCTTCTTTTGGAGGATGCAGCTGCAAAACGAGCTTCACATCTGCAAAGTCAATGCCACGACTAATAATGTCAGTGGTGATCAGAACGTCAAACCTGAGAACATGTCGCTTCGCAAAATCTTACACCGTCTTACAGGTCTTCAGGTGTGCCATGGGTTTAAAAATAGCCGTAGCAAAGCCACGAAACAAACAACCAAGGAGGTCACTGCATAAATCCATCAAAGAAAGAAACAACACAGTTGGCAACACACAAACGACTTGCGGAAATACACATAATTTGTCCTGCGCATCATTATCTCTCTCTCTCTCTCTCTATCATTACCGTATCTGGTCAAAACTTTTCCGATCGTCTTTCCCGCATTTTTCTACACAGCGGTTCACTTTGGCTTCCTTTGGACTTCAAGAAGACTGGCGATCGTCTTTCCCGCATTTTTCTACACAGCGGTTCGCTTTGGCTTCCTTTGGACTTCAAGAAGACTGGCGAGCTTTTCTGGTGCAAGGGATGACCTTTTTATGTTCATTCAAGATGGGAACATCAAAACACAATATTTACTTTACTTCGTGTGATCCCCACCATGACATTTATAGATTTTCTTACTGGCAAATCTTGTGGCATTCTATCTGACATTTCTTCTGGCATTCTATCTGGCATATCTTCTGGCATTCTATCTGACATATCTTCTGGCATTCTATCTGACGTATCTTCTGGCATTCTATCTGGCATATCTTCTGGCATTTTTTCTGGCATATCTTCTGGCATATCTTCTGGCATTCTATCTGGCATTCTATCTGACATATCTTCCGGCATATATTCTGACATATCTTCTGGCATTCTATCTGGCATATCTTCTGGCATATGTCCTGGCATATATTCTGACATATCTTCTGGCATTCTATCTGGCATATCTTCTGGCATATGTTCTGGCATATCTTCTGGCATTCTATCTGGCATATCTCATGGCATTTTATCTGGCATATCTTCTGGCATTCTATCTGGCATATCTCATGGCATTTTATCTGGCCGTTGAGGTCCAGCGGTGCACACACTGAGCTGGGCAGGTCCCAGGTTGAGGTCCAGCGGTGCACACTGAGCTGGGCAGGTCCCAGTTGAGGTCCAGCGGTGCACACTGAGCTGGGAAGTTGGCAAAAAGCTTGGCGCAGAGAGTCGGCGAAGAGAGTTGGCAAAGAGCTTGGCGAAGAGTTGGCAAGGCGGAAGTGCAGGTGGAAGTTGATGCAGACATGGTCGAGGAGAAACTGGAGGAGGCGAGGAGGAGGCGAGGAGGAAGAGGACAGCTAGTCGACGAGGAGGAGGACGAGGACGCGGAGGAAGAGCGCTCTGATAAAATCTAACAACCCTCAAGCATTGTCTGCACCGACCGGCCTCTAATCTCTATGTCTTTAAGCTACTCGCAGAGATTTGAAACATGATTTGAATAGAATAGATTCGATATGCAATGGCAAAGGTTAGATCATCACACAAACCAGCAGTTTGAGCACACAAGTTGGTGTACTGTCTTCCATTCAGGATTGACTTATACCGCTCTGTGTGTGTGTCATCATCTGACAATTTACTTTGTGGTGAATGGCATGTGCCATGTCGTACAAAATCATTGACATGCAAAGCGCAGAGCTCGAGCATCGAAACCTCCCTCACGATGTCATAGAAAATCGCGTGTTTTCATGTTTCTATGATTCAACAAATGACATTCCTCATCTGTCAATGCGAGTATGTCCTCTTCACGATTCTACATATAGCCGTGCACGTGATAGGAAACCAAAAAATATCGAAGCACCCCTTCAGGATTCTTCATAGACCGCCCATATTTGGTGGTGAGGCTGTATGCCAAAGCCAGTGGAGTGATCCAGGTTGCCAAACCGAAAATTTGACAAAGTGCAACAAAATGTGACAAGGGGCTCGAGATTTGCAAATGCCGTCAGAGTGCGATCGCGGTCATGAGGGCTTGACTCGTTGTGTACTGCTTTGGCGCGATGCCCCAGGGCAGGATGAGAAAGCAACGTTCTGGCTTCTCGCGTGGTGTCAGCGAAGATGATACAGCGCTCACCAGAAAGATCCAACCTCTTGTGTTGCGAAAATGTCTGAGGTATGTGGATGGCCAACATCTTCCTATGCAACCATTGCCCTGGCAAAAGAATGTAAGGCTTGGACAGGATAGACAGAACAAACAAGAAGCAAGAGAAGAAACAGAAGAAGAAGGAAGAAAGAAAGAAAGAACGAAATAAAGAAAGAAAGAAAGAAAGAAAGAAAGAAAGAACGAAAGAAAGCAAGCAAGCAAGCAAGCAAGAAAGAAAGAAAGAAAGAGAGAGAGAAGAGAAGCAAGCAAGACAGAAAGAAAGAAAGAAAGAGAGAGAGAGAGAGACAGAAAGAAAGAAAGAAAGAAAGAAAGGAAGGAAGGAAGGAAGGAAAGAAGGAAAGAAAACAAATAAGAAGAATAAGAAGAATAAGAAGAAGAAAAAGAAGAAGAACAGGAAGAAAAGAAGAAGGAGAAGGAGAAAAGAAGAACAACACCACCACCACCAGCAGCAACAACAAGGAAACGGCAACAGCAATATACAATCACAAACCTGCCAGAAGACAACAAGAACGACCAGGTGACCAGGACAACACCAACCGCAAGATCATCCATCATTGCATCGCTGAGCCCACAGGGGCTGGGATTGTCTCAAAATTTTGCAAAGCAACCCATTGAAAACAATGCAGCGCTGACACATGCCAACACATTTGTCATATTATGATACCGCAACGCCAGCAAATCAAGTGCAGAAGGTACGGTATGGCACGGTTAAGCAAGACCTGAAACACGAACTCAAGTTGATTCACTCAGAGTGCCTCCGCCAGGCGGTACTTGAATCAGCTGCATCACGAGAATCCAGCTATTTGAAGTCTAAAGTCTAAAATGCTCAAACCACCTGAAAGTGATTTAAGAGCCAGCAGCCAACAAACGCCAAATTCCAAATTGCACCTGACGCATGGGTTTCGATCCAGCTGGTGTATGTAAGGTTTCTAGAGATTCTGGAGTCCAGAGCCTGAAGTTTGGCCCCCACCTGTCACGCAAACACACACACACAGCGTGCCTCTCACTGAGAACGTGGAGGAGTATACGCACTCGTACAGGAAGCCTCCACAACAAACGAAATCAGAAAAAAACAATTTTCCAAATGTGCCGCAAAATGCTTTGACAATTCAAACCTCCATGTGCCCTTTCCATATCTGTTGTGCCCACCCGACCCGAGGCTCAAAAGCAAAGAGCCGTTCCGAGCCCTCAAAACAGGGCCTTCTGTCATCAAGCTTGCACAAACGATGGTCGACTGATTGAACAACTGCGTCACCCGACTTGCTACGGCGATCCACCAAATCCACAAACTCGTGATCCTCACGGCGACTTGCATGGCTCAAATCGTTTCTGGACAAAAATATGTCGATTCAAGTGAAACATGAGTGTGGCACTATGCTGTGTTGTACTGTGGCTTGGATGAGAAACTTCAAAATTGTTGATCATCAAAATTTGATCTGCTGAGCTCGGCCAAGGGGCTGGAAATTGTGTGTGAATCAATGTCAAGACATCAGGAGGCAGCGAAGCAGAAAAAAGAACTTGCTGCCTTGGACCATTGTGAGACGGCTCTGAGACACGACCTACACGAATCTTCGACAGAAAGTGGGGCAAAGATGGGCAAACCGCAAAACATCAAACATATCAAACATATCAAACATATAAAACATCCATCAAGTCCACTCAAATCCACTAAGTCACTAAGATTTCCATCAAGTCCACTGCTGGGTGCTGTATCTCTTCAGAAAACCCACGTCAACACAGGCCAAGTGACAGGCCCTGCTTGGCAACAGCATTCATCACTCGTTCCACTTTCCCAAGAAATTCCGGTCCAAACCTCATCCCATGATCCGAGGCATGACGAGGACAAGAAAAACGTTTGCCGTTGAAGGTGTGAAACAATACGTCAATGGGTCATATCCTTGCCGAATCTTCTGATAGGGCCCTGGCATAGCATCCGCTTCATCAATCACAAGTGCTCGGACATTCTTTGTGTCTATCGCACCTTTGCACAATTCATGCGCTGCAAATGAGGAACTTTTCACGTCAGAACCCGTCCTAAACGCTCAAGCGATGCGCCTCGAGTGATCAGCGTTGCACATCGGCCAGGTGTTGCGACAACAGTTGAAGCACCCAGTCTCACAAGCTGCTCCTGAATTGTTGAATTATGTTGAATTTGTTGAATGGCGGCAGAATGTGACACATGTGCAACAACCGCCAAGAGAGGCCGTCTCTTGCCAGTGAAAGGATGTCAGTGGCTGATATGCAAACGAGGCCAAATTATGCCAAATTACCATAAAATCACAAACTTTGAACCTGCCGTAAGCGTACATGACATGTGGACACCACAGTGGAGACCCTAACCAAAACAACCACACGCGGCACGCGGAGGAATGTGCCCTCGCACATACATAAGCGCTATATATATATTAATTATATATATATATTCATACACGTAAAAACACGTGATTTTTGGTCGGTTTTACATTTCCAATGGTGCGTTTGCCTTGCGTTCTGCTCCAAATGTGCGATTCTCTTTGCTTGCGTCCTGTTTTCCGTCCAAAAAAACGATTGCAATGGAAGGGGGCTCGAGGCTCCAGGTAAAAAAGGATTACCGCAAAAACCGCTTGTTTGTGAGCAACGAGAAGAACCGCATTCATGACATTCCATTGAACTCATGACGACTTATGACGCGACTTGCTTCATATTCTCTGTGGCGGCAGCATTGTCCATTGTCCTGCGAGTCCAGAGATGGACCTCCATAGACCAGCGCAACATCAGAATTGACGGATAGCGAAAGCAGAGTGCTTCCCACCTGCGTGTACCGTGCTTTGCAAATGGAATTTTCTGGATCCTGGTATGGCCATGCCTGGTTATGATTGATTCAGCACAAAACAACTTTTCAAATGGTCTTAAACGCTGCTAAACCAGAGTATCCAATGACACACATGGTTGCCACATTGTCCAAAAGAATCATGCTGAACTATAGTAACACTATGTAACACTGCAGTACACTTTTGATTGCCTTCTTCTTTCTGTATTGGAGTGGGCCAGCCTGCTTGCAAAGCTCCCTGGTTGGAACGAGAATGATCAAGGAATGGGCAGAAGTCATCTTTTCGTGGCGCATGCGCTCTAAAAGAGGTAGCAAATACGCAACCTTAGGTAATGTCTCGATATGGCTCTCGATGTCGCATCCTGCAAGGCACTCATGCAATGTCTTGATATCGAATGTCGACACACCAGCACTCAAAGTACACCGAGTATAAGTATAATTATCTTTCAAACGTTTCAAGTTGATACCACGTGTGATGGGTTTGGATTTTTGGATATTTGGTCCTTCTATGTCTTTCTGTATCATCTTTTTGGAAAACTGCCAAGCGACAGTTTTGCCGGTGCCCGTTCTAGATCGTCCGACAAAACTCTTGCCACGAAGGATAGCATCAAATGCCTTCCTGCACTGGGAACAAGGTGTTCAGTCAAGACCAAAACCAAACACACGATAAACATCAGAATGCAAGCAAAGAGTCCAATTGCAATGCCACTCCATCGTGGATGATGTTGTGTAATGCATGCACAAAAGCGCATGCATGCATAGATGCACACGCCAACGCAATATATACATAAAGCATGTACGAGGCGGGTAAGGTAATTAGTGAACGCCCCTTCGGGGCCACAAAAAAGATAAAATAATATTGGCGAGGATCAGCTGCTAGCTGAAAGTGAGAGCATCTAAGGCAAAACATCCCAGAATTGAAAGAAACAAACAGGATTCGCATACAGGATTCGATCGTGTTCACGTTGCGCCACCCCTTCATCTTACTGTACTTCCGCTTCACTTCAGTTACCTGCCCTATCTTGCTATGCGTTCAGCGCAGGTCAGACCATCCAATGCCAAACATTTTTCCTGTGTGACGTGCGCAAACTTAGCCAAAACTCTGCAGATTATCGTGCGGAAAAACATTTCAAAACAAACGGTGCAAATGCTGTCCGTGCTGTCAAGGCACGTCTGGATATCAAATAGCTTTGTCACTCCCATGCCCATGAGGTTCCTTGCGCAATTGGTTTTTGAATAGGATTCAATTTTCCAAAGCAAAGCGCAAGTGCCATCAGAACACAGAAAATGCTTCAGGTTAGTGAGGTAAACACAAAGATAAACCAAACAGCCCACCTGACATAAACGTGCTCACGGACGGTTTCTTAGCCGGACCCAGAAATTGCCTCAAGTTTCGGGGTTTGCACAGTTTGCACTGTTTGCACCAAGTATCTGTTTCAGAACCTCTGGGATTGGCAGCCTGAGAGTCACACGCAAGGCTGAGACACCAATGCCGTCTGATGCCATCTTCCATCGAAGGCAAAGATTCTTTCAATTTGCTAGAAGATGCAATAATAGAATCGTCAAAAGATGTAACGATCAAACAATTGCGCCGAGTTTCTGGTCGACCCTTCTCTGTGAGACAGATGCAAATCGCTTAGCGCGACCGCAGGTTTGTTTGAACGCCATGTCTTGAGCAGCGCTGACAGCCTCAGCTTCTGAATCAATGATTGATGGCCCACGTGAAATGCGGCATATTCATGCATGTTCGGGCATGAAACCGATTGGCCTCTTGGAGGCTTACAACATTTGAAATCAATTGAATTCGTCTGGCACTTGGCATGGGCCACAGTAGTCATGCACAGCCGGATAGAATTTTGTCTTTCGAATTGCTCGAGTTGTCAATCAAGTTGCCTTCCGCAAATTCTGCGACGCGCAGGCACGAAGCCACAACATGCCATTGGCTTTCAGGTCACGTTTGAATGCAACATGTGCGGAGATCCAGAGACCCAAGTGCAACCAAACAAGAGACATCTATCGTAGCTCATTCAGAATTGATAGCCGGTCATCCCTTGTCTATTCAACAGCATGCAACATCTCCTAAACATATAGCCGAAAGTTTGCACAAGCCAAAGCCAACATGTGCTGAGCACTTTGTACACCAAAACTGACGGTCAGTGGTCAGCATCTGCACATCTCGAAGCCGTTGCGGCATGAATGTCATCCAACCTCTACACATCTCTACACTGTGAATGTGCATTGCACTCCTTGTATTCTAAAGTCAGCTCAAGTGTAGCAATAGCTAGAAATACCTCCCCGTCCATCCAGTCCCATCTGCTACAGCCTTGCAGGTAAGGCATCTGGCAATCAAAATGATCGAGCGGCTGTGGCGCCATTTCTCTATGAGCTGTCAGGATCACTACGGTGCTGTGAAGGTCACAACTTTCCGCACGTTGCTCGGCACGTCAGTGCGCGCTAAAACATTTTCTCACAATCTTTTCATTTTCACTCCCTCTTCTTCTCGAACGTTTATGCTGGATCTCTGTGTGCATGCACAGGCAGCAAAAATGTACATAGTAACATGATCATGATGATGATTCGACGATGATTCGATGATTCGATGATGATGATGATGGTGATGATGATGATGGTGGTGGTGATGATGATGACGACGACGATGATGATGATTGCACTTTTCCAACCTATACTCTATGGTTTGGACGTGCATTGGTGCTTGCTGACTCTATTATATACTCCGTCAAACATCGCCAAACGCTTTATAAACTCATACCACTTCAACTTCCATAGGGTAGAATCCTCATGAATCCTTGATGGTGACCCACATTGTGATCACTTTTTCTCTTTCTTTGGCTTCATGCTGATAGCCTTCGCTAAAGCAACCCCAGAGCCCAGTCCCATCACAACAAAGAGAACCAAGCGGTCAAACTTCTCCGGGTTGCCGTAGGACTTGAACGCCTGTGTCAGGCCGCTGGGAAGGGATGAAATATCCACACATTGTCAGATGGGATGGGGTAGGGGGAAAGTATCATTGCGCAGCCTGGATGGAAAACACAGCAATGAAGATCAGCATCAGGACCTTATCTAGCAAATCTAACGTTGGAAGCTACACTGAAAGTGAATCGTTGGGCTGTTGGACCGGTTGGACCGGTTGGACCGGTTGGACCGGTTGGATGCTGTAGGAATCTTAGCCAAGCCACCAAAGCAAGATGGACCCCAATGGCTACCAGGACCTGCGTGAGGATATGCGAGGACAAAACCTGCTACCATGATAAAACAAACTAAGCAAGCCCGTCAGATTTGGCAAAGATCAGCAAAGATCAGCATTTCAAACGGCACCGATTTGGTCAGAAATCCACGGATTCCGTCGGATTCCGTTACTCCGTTGAACATTCTTTGGCTCAGCGGGTTAGGGCGGCTGGGGGCAATCTCAAAGGAACGTGCGAGCAAAATGGCAACGGCCTCGCGAAGCTCCCAAAAAGAGAAAACATCCACCGTAGCCTGTGGGTGTGGCAAAGAATGTAATGAAATCATCATCATAATATCATCATGATATCATCCATTATTTATATTATTGTGTCAGAAAACTACATCATGGTACTTGTGAAATGTGAATTCCATGCGACTTCCTGCTGTGTTTGCACGATGGGCATGGACGCATCTGAAATTGCCTGGACTGGACGCATCACAAGTCTGGCCTCTCCGTGCCCAAAGGCAGAGCTGTGATGCCTATGCTCAGCGAATGACACCCTGCAAAGTTGTGCCCACAATTACTTTTCCATCTGTTTCCATATTTTTTCAACATAGCGCAAACTTTACATGCCTGCAGTTCAGATGTCTTGTTGCTTCTCATGCTGTCAAAACAACTCACCGACAGCATAGCAATGTATAGCAAACATAACCACTACAGATATCTACCAATCATGTCGCGTTCTGTTGAAAAAACCTGCAAATACTCTGCAGCACTTTTCACAGCTGTAACAGATGACGTCAAAGCCTCACAAAGCCACAATGACATCGGTGACATCGGAGATATCGGTATCGCGCTCATTGTTGGTGCGGAAGGCCCAGGTGGTTCCCTTGGCATGGGCCGCACATGGCCACACACCCTCCATGAAGACGTAAGACAAACAATGACAAACGAGGAGACACATGTGGAAAACATGGTGGAACATCACCTTGGAACTCGACAAAGCACAGACGCAAAACTGCAAGGGCTACCCATGGGGGTCAACTATGCCAACCCTGATTCGGTCAGCCATGTAAGCTGAAACCTGGAAACGTTCCGACCATTCCCTCACGCGCTCTGAGATGACATGAACTCAATCTGAACTTGGGCTGATCTTAATCTACAGTATGTCGTGTATCAATTGCAAAAACTTGTGCCCTCGTACTCCCCAAGTGCTATTTTAGATTGCATCGCATCAATCTCCCCCTTCTTTCTTTCTGTCACAAGCAGGGGTGGTATCCCGATTTCTCCCTCGTTCCCCAATGTACGCCCATGTATGCGCAAGGTTCTGGGAACCTTGGAACCTTGTCTCCCACTCCCATTGTGTGTCCTGCACCTTGTCTCCCACTTTGCCTTCCACCTTGTCTGCCAGTTGTCTCCCAGATGCCTCCATTTGTTGTCCAGTTGTCTTCCGCTTGTCTCCCAAATGTGGTCTGCCAGCTGCTGTCGGTCTCCCAGATTTGGTCCCAATTCCCTCCCAAGTCCCTCCCGATTGTCTTCCACTTGTCTCCCACAACTCCAGCTGTCCCAACAGGGGTTTTGAGCACGTCTCAATTGCCTTCACTTTCTCCTTCAATATGCCACCTTCCCCACTCAGCAGTTCCACGCAGATCTTCCTTGCCACAGCCTTCGACTTCTGCACGTTTGCGCTGCGTCTTGAACCACGCACTGCGCGGAAGGGTCTGTAGAAAGATGGGAGGATACTACCCAATATATGGCCATTTGTATGGGGAAACTGAATAGAAACCTTGGGATTCAGTTATATTCAGTTCTTCCCAACATTGTCAGACACCCTCTTGAGTAGTGGCGGAGAGACTCAATGTGACTCAATGGAAACCATTGGAAACAGTTGTGGCCCAAAGGCAACGCAAGTTTGCACACTGTCTGCCGCCAAGCTGCACATCATAGGGCTGCCTCGGCTTGTGCGCGCGCGCAACGTTGCGCGCAGTTGCGTGCAGTTGCGTGCAGTTTGCGTGCAGTTTGCGCGCAGTTTATGTGCAGTTTGTGTGCAGTTTGCGTGCAGTTTGTGTGCAGTTTGTGTGCAGTTGCGTGCAGTTTGCATGCAGTTTGCGTGCAGTTTATGTGCAGTTTGTGTGCAGTTTGCGTGCAGTTTGTGTGCAGTTTGTGTGCAGTTGCGTGCAGTTTGCGTGCAGTTTGCGTGCAGTTTGCGCGCAGTTTGTGTGCAGTTTGTGTGCAGTTTGTGTGCAGTTGCGTGCAGTTTGCGTGCGGTTTGCGTGCAGTTTGCGTGCAGTTTGTGTGCAGTTTGTGTGCAGTTTGCGTGCAGTTTGCGTGCAGTTTGCGTGCAGTTTGTGTGCAGTTTGTGTGCAGTTTGTGTGCAGTTTGTGTGCAGTTTGTGTGCAGTTTGTGTAGAAAGTTTGCGTGGAGTTTGTGTGCAGTATGCGTGCAGTTTGCGTGCAGTTTGCGTGCAGTTTGTGTGCTGTTTGCGTGCGGTTTGCGTGCGGTTTGCGTGCGGTTTGCGTGCGGTTTGCGTGCGGTTTGCGTGCAGTTTGCGTGCAGTTTGCGTGCAGTTTGCGTGCAGTTTGTGTGCAGTTTGTGCAGTTGCGTGCAGTTTGCGTGCGGTTTGTGTGCAGTTTGTGTGCAGTTTGTGTGCAGTTTGTGTGCAGTTTGTGTGTGGTTTGTGTGCAATTTGTGTGCAGTTTGTGTGCAATTTGTGTGCAGTTTGTGTGCAATTTGTGTGCAGTTGCGTGCAGTTTGCGTGCGGTTTGCGTGCGGTTTGCGTGCGGTTTGCGTGCAGTTTGCGTGCAGTTTGCGTGCAGTTTGCGTGCAGTTTGTGTGCAGTTTGATGCAGTTTGATGCAGTTTGTGTGCAGTTTGCGTGCAGTTTGCGCGCAGTTTGCGTGCAGTTTGTGTGCAGTTGCGTGCAGTTTGCGTGCAGTTTGCGTGCAGTTTGCGTGCAGTTTGCGTGCGGTTTGCGTGCAGTTTGCGTGCAGTTTGGGCGTGCGGTTTGCGTGCGGTTTGCGTGCAGTTTGTGTGTGTGCAGTTTGTGTGTGTGCAGTTTGGGTGTGCAGTTTGTGTGCAGTTTGTGTGCAGTTTGTGTGTGGTTTGTGTGCAGTTTGTTTGTGTGCAGTTTGGGTGCAGTTTGTGTGCAGTTTGTGTGCAGTTTGTGTGCAGTTTGGTGTGGTTTGTGTGCAGTTTGTGTGCAGTTTGTGTGCAGTTTGTGGCAGTTTGTGTGCAGTTTGTGGGTTGTGTGCAGTTTGATGCAGTTGATGCAGTTGTTGGTGCAGTTTGGTGCAGTTGCGTGCAGTTTGCGTGCAGTTTTTTTTTGTTTTTTGTGCAGTTGCGTGCAGTTTGCATTGTGCAGTTGCGTGACAGTCTGCGGCGGTTGCGTGCGGTGCGTGGCAGGTTTTGAGTGCAGGTTTGGGCGTTTGCGGTTTGCGTGCGGTTTGCGGCGGAGTTGTGTGCAGTTTGTGTGTGTGGCAGGTTTGGGGTGTGCAGTTTGTGATGCAGTTTGTGTGCAGTTTGTGTGTGGTTTGTGATCTGCAGTTTGTGTGTGGTTGGTGTGAAGTTGTGTGAAGTTGGCAGTTTGTGTGTGGTGTGTGATGCAGGTTTGTGTTGCAGTTTGGTGTGTGAAGTTTGTTGGGTGTGCAGTTGTGGCCGTTTGTGTGGGTTGTGGGAAAGTTGGTCGTCGGAAGTGGTTGTTGCAGTTGTGTGCAGTTTGTGTGTGGTTTGTGTGTGGTTTGTGTGCAGTTTGTGTGTGGTTTGTGTGTGGTTTGTGTGCAGTTTGTGTGTGGTTTGTGTGTGGTTTGTGTGCAGTTTGTGTGTGGTTTGTGTGCGGTTTGTGTGCAGTTTGTGTGTGGTTTGTGTGTGGTTTGTGTGCAGTTTGTGTGTGGTTTGTGTGTGGTTTGTGTGCAGTTTGTGTGTGGTTTGTGTGTGGTTTGTGTGCAGTTTGTGTGTCGTTTGTGTGCAGTTTGTGTGCAGTTTGTGTGTGGTTTGTGTGTGGTTTGTGTGCAGTTTGTGTGTGGTTTGTGTGCAGTTTGTGTGCAGTTTGTGTGTGGTTTGTGTGTGGTTTGTGTGCAGTTTGTGTGTGGTTTGTGTGCAGTTTGTGTGCAGTTTGTGTGTGGTTTGTGTGTGGTTTGTGTGCAGTTTGTGTGCAGTTTGTGTGTGGTTTGTGTGTGGTTTGTGTGTGGTTTGTGTGCAGTTTGTGTGCAGTTTGTGTGCAGTTTGTGTGTGGTTTGTGTGTGGTTTGTGTGTGGTTTGTGTGCAGTTTGTGTGCAGTTTGTGTGTGGTTTGTGTGTGGTTTGTGTGCAGTTTGTGTGTGGTTTGTGTGCAGTTTGTGTGCAGTTTGTGTGTGGTTTGTGTGTGGTTTGTGTGCAGTTTGTGTGTGGTTTGTCTGCAGTTTGTGTGCAGTTTGTGTGCAGTTTGTGTGTGGTTTGTTTGGATTTTTTTTTCGCTTGTGGTCGTCTCAGTCTCAGTTGCATCGCTGGGCCGTTGAAGTCGTCGACTCTACTCAGTGGTACGTCAGGGATGAGGCGATATCCATCTCCTCAAGGCGATGGTCGTGCAAACAGGTCACGGAAAAAAAGAGGGGAACCACACAACACACATTGAATGTGTGAAAACCTCAAATGTGGTACGCGATGGCATGCGTGTTTTCAGATGTCTTCCCTGCCCTCAGGCAATATGTCTGCCGGAAAGGAAATGCAAATGTGTGAAGGAGAGTTGGAGGATGCTCGAGCAAGAGCCGGCTGAGCCGGTGCTGTCTTGTTGCCCGTTTGGCCTTTGAAATTTTGGCTTGCCTTGCAGCAGAGGCTCCGATAGGACCGTCTGAAGGCAAGTGCACCTGTGCACAAGAAAACTATGGTTTTTTCTCACATCTCTCACGCATTGAGGGGCCTGCGACGCTGAAATCAAATGGGACAAGAATGATCTGCGAATCTGTGCAGGTGATTTTGGCATGGATTCAAATGGGTTCAGCAGAGATCAGCGTGACTTAGCACCTCTGGAGCAGGCACCGGCTCTGGTTGTTCAGGTGGATCTTCAGGCAAATGGTCAAGGTGTCTGGCAGCAATCGAATCCTAAAACAATCGTTGCCATGCAGTGAAAAAAAGATAATCGAAGGTAGGTAGACACAGCATGGCACAGCGATTCAACATGATTCAGCGCTATGATACATCGATGCCTGTACGCAAACATGACACGTTGTGTTTTCATGTTGC